TAATAGCCAATCCCAAATTCTATACCCAGTAAAAATATCCTTCAAGAATGAAGGTGAAATAAAGACATTTCAGACAAACAAAATCAGAAATTCATCACCAGCAGACTAGTACCTCAAAATAATAAACGTATATATAAAAAACCCACAGCAAACATCATACTCAATGGTAAAGTTCTTTCTCTAGGATCTAGAACAAAGCAAGAATGCCCACGTTCACCATTTCTATTCAACACAGTACCGGAAGACCAGAGCAATTATGCAAGGAAAATAAATAAAAGGCATCCAAATTAGAAAGGAAAAGGTAAAATTATCTCTGTTCACAGATGATATGATCCTGTATGTAGAAAACCCTAAAGATTACACACACACACACACAAACTATTGGAACTAATAAACTCAGCAAAAGTACCAGGATAACAAGTCAACCACAAAAATCAGTTACACTTCTATAATAACAATGAACAATCCAAAAAGGAAATTAAGAAACAATTCCACTTACATAGCATCAAAAAGAATAAAATACTCAGGAATTAATTTACTAAGGAGGTAAAAGACTTGTATAATGAACACTACAAAACATCGCTGAAAGAAATTAAAGAAGACATAAATAAATGGAAAGACACCCCATGTTCATAGAATGGAAGACTTAATATTGTTAAGCTGTCAATACCGCTCAAAGCAAAGCAATCTAGAGATTTAATGCAATTCTATCAAAATTCCAATGATGTTTTTTGCAGAAATAGAAAAACCCATCCTAAAATTCAGATGGAATCTCAAGGGATCCCAAATAACCAAAACAATCCAGGAAAAGAACAAACCTGGAGGACTCACATTTCCTCCAAAACTTTCAAACTTACTGCAAAACTATACTTACTCAAAAACCTACTACAAAACTATAATAATCAAAACAGTGTGGTACTGGCATAAAGACAGACCAATGGAATACAATAGAGAGTCTAGAAATAAATCTTCATATATGTGATCAAACAATTTTCAACAAGGGTGGGAAGCCCATTCAATAGGGAAGAGGCAGCCTTTTCAACAAATTGTGCTGGGAACTGGATATCTACATACCAAAGAATGAAGTTGGACTCTTACCTAACACCACATACAAAATTTTTAATTCAAAATAGATCCATGACCTAAATCTAAAACCTAAAACTACAAAATTCATAGAAGAAAACAGGGCAAAAGCTTCATGACATTAGATCTGGCAATCATTTCTTAGCTATCACATGAAAGGTATAGATAACAAAAGAATAAAAAAGACTTCATGAAAAATCTTAAATTGCATCAAAAGACACCATAAAAAATAACTATCAACAGAATAAAAAGGAAACCCACAGAATGGGAGGAAATATTTACAAGTCATATATCTGATATGGGATTAATTTTCAGAATATATAAATAACTCCTACAACTCAACAAAAATAAAACAAACAATCTGATTCAAAGATGGACAAAGGACATAAGCAGACATTTCTCCAAAGATATACAAATAGCAAAAAAGCACATGAAAAGATGTTCAACATTACTAATCATTAGGGAAATGCAAATCAAAGGTACAATTAGATACTACTTCACACCTATCAGGATTGCGACTATCCCAAAAAAAAAAAAAACCCAGAAAATAGCAAGTGATGGTGAAGATGTGGAAAAACTGAAACTCTTATGCACTGTTGATGGGAATGTAAAAATTGTGCAGCTGCTGTGGAAAACAGTATGGTGGTTCATCAAAAAATTCTAAACATAGAATTATCATATGATACAGAAATTCCACTTCTGAGTGTATACTCAGAAGAATTGAGAGAGGATCTCAAAGATATCTGTACACCCATGTTCGTAAGAAAATTATTCACAATAGCTAAAATGTGGAAACAACCCAAGTGTCTGTTGAGAGATGAATGAATGAGTGAAATGTGGTATATAACACAATGGACTATTTATTCAGTGTTAAAAAGGAAAGAAATTCTGACATATGCTACAATATGAATGAACTTTGAGGACATGAGGCCAAGTGAATAAGCCAGTCACAGATGGCAAATACTATGTAAGTCCACTTGTATGAGGTACCAAAAGAAAACTCTCCCGTGACAGGCTGGGCTACCATGAATGACTAGGAATCAAGGATAAGAGCACTCTTCACGTTGCTTTGGAAAAGCCAAAGCATCTTCTGTCTGGGACGAGGAAAGAGGCAAAGATAAAACTTAAATACTAGCCACAGGCCTCACCACCTCTGACAACTACACATAATATGCCTGGACAAAGCTTGTCTTGGGTAAGTATTTCAAGACACTCCCCAAATGTGTATTATCCTTCTGTCTTAGAAAAAACTCATCCTGATAGGGCACTCTGATACTAAGCTCTGCAAGCCTCACCACAGTCGGGCATAGGGCACAGGACCACCTACAGCTGCTCACCAGTGTTGCGGATGATGTAATCCAGCACCACCAACCGCTCAAACTGTAGCAGCAGTTGCCGGTTAGTGTTCTCAGGGAGAGGTTCGGCTTCAAAACGCCGTAACCAATAGTCTGCATCTTTGTAGCCTTCAACAAAGAGCTGGAATGAACCAACCTGCAACCAAAAAAGAGGAATAAAGGTACTTCCCTATAGCCTAAGTCCAAAGATCCCTCCTGGTAAGCCAGGTGCCCACTAAGGCCCTGTGAAGTTTGTATCAGAAAAGAGTAGATTACCCATCCAAACTCAAGAAGCCCAGCTAAATGGTCCAGAGGAGTAAAGTGAGAAAGTTAAGTCTCTATTCTCTGCAGAACTATTCCCCAAACCTTGACAGAAATGAGTAAGACAGGAGCCTCGGGGCAGAGCTACTCAAGTGTCCACAAGTCTGTAGACACCTTGCTTCACCACCTGGATGGACATGCCACTATAAATCATCACCTTTGATAAGCCACAGAGGGGCAATCTATACCTTTGGCGGAAGCCCAATGCGGTTAAACCGCTGCCCAACTTTTGGCACTTTCTCCAGCGCAAGCCGCTTGCCCCTGGACTTGACTCGGTCAATGGCACTATAGTTGAAGGTCTCACTGGCCAGGTATACTACCTATAGTGGAAGGAGAAAAGATACCTAGGTTAGAGTCAAGTTTAAGGACCTATATACCACTATAGTGGAGAATAGCTAGATGCTCACCAGTGCTGTTCCTCTTCCAGGGGACACAGAAAGAATGCATTTCTCAGCCTTCCTAGCAGCTAGGTCAGAGTGTATGACTAGTTCGGGCCAATGGAATGTTGACAAAGTGACATATATACATTACTTTCAGGCCCCTAAAATCTCCCATGATCTTTGGTTCACATTCCTCAATCTATACAGCTGGAAATGAAGGGCTCTAGAATGGCCAAACCACCAGATCATGAAAAGATCCTAGATTGCTTCTCACTACATGGAGTGGCTTGGGATCTAGAAGAGCTGCCTAACTGGCATGGATCTTTTTTTTTTTTAATTTAAGTATAATTACTTGAATGTGTTAATTTCTGGTGTATAGCATAATGTTTCAGTCATACATACACATACTCATATTTGTTTTCATATTCTTTTTCATTATATGTTACTATAAGATATTGAATATAGTTCTCTGTGTTATACCGAAGAAATCTGTTTTTTCTCTATTTTATACACAGCAGTTAGTATTTGCAAATCTCAAACTCCCAATTTATCCCTTCCCACCTCCTTTCCCCTCGGTAACCATAAGTTTGTTTACTATGTCTGTGAGTCTGTTTCTGTTTTGTAGATAAATTTATTAGTGTCTTCTTTTTTCTTTTCTGGCATGGGTCTTGATATGAGCAAGAAATAAACTCCTACTGTGTAAAACCACTGCAACTCAGGGGTTGTTATAGCAGCTAACATGAATTACCCCGACTCCTACAGCCACCTCCTGGGTTAGCAGAAGATGGCCCAATGCCTATTTTCTCTATAGATAAAAGCAAATTGCAATTTACTCTATGCCCTTTTATTACCTGCTGAATTTTGTACTATGTGCAATTATTTACCTTTAAAAATTAAACAAACATTAAAATTGGTTTTAATTTCTAGTGAATTGCTATATATATGCATATTTAGACTATATCTGGGATATTACACAAGAAACTAGTAATAGCAGCTACCTCTGAGGAGGGGAACCAAGTGGCTGGAAGACAGTGGTGGGAGAGAGGCTGAATTACTCTTCTCTGTTTACTCTATTGTGCCTTCTAATTTTTGTACCAGATGCATGTATTACCTATTCAAAAATAATTTTTTAATGGGCCACCAATATTACACTTGATTGTCAAACTACAGTGGTATCACTGTAGTCCATAATCCATACATACGTCCATTATCACACATCACATTGTCTCATGATTACCCATTTGTATATCTAACTTGTCTCTCAAAGCTAATGAAATGTAGGGTGGATGAGAACATCTTATTCACATTAGCATCCCTAGTACCTACCACAATGCCTGGCACATGCTCATTTATTAAATGAATGAATGAATGAATTACAAGCTTCTTTCAGAGAGGGCAACAAGTGAGTGTTAGCATATAAAGACCTAAAATCAAATTTATAAGAAAATTCTTTCTTTTCCTAAGCCTTGTAAAATTCATTACAAATAACTAATTACTTTTCCCATAAACCTTAGAGGTAGTGCAAAATAATTCCCTTCCTCCCATCCATCCATTCATCCACTTTTAACAGAGTACCTAAAATAGATAAGCAAAGTACTATAGGTTAGTACCCTGTGTCTTACAAATCAGGAAACACAGGCACAGGAATAAAGGGGGGGAAAAAGGCTTTCCTAAGAGTACCTTGACAGCTTCCATGATGAAAACCCTGGCTCTTAGGCCAAAAAACACCCTTTCCCCCCATCAGATATATTTTTTATCAATTTTTGTAACAAACCACTTTTCCTCTATGACTAATGAAACTACCACAATCTGAAACCTCACAGGAACACAGAGATAGTGATCAAGTGAGAATTAGAGCCTTACTATTTGATTCTCCACTGTAACGTAAGCCTCGTTTCCATAGTGACAGATGTTCTGATCAACTGGATAGAATCCTGTCACAGGGTGGGAAGGCAGGGAGAGGAAAGGCTTCCTCTTACTATTCTCCAGCATCTGTGTGTTAGGCTTGCAAAGTTCTGTCTCATCTCAGTCTCATGGAAGACAACTATTTTTATTGTTACTGGCTTTTTGATGCAAAACATCCTTAGGCCTCATTAAGGCTCTCTAAAAGGGAAAGAGGAAGACCAGAGATGGGGAAGAAAGGGATTGTGGGGAGTGACATTAATGATTAGAATAGTCATAAAAACACCACAGGCTAAGATGCATGGAGTGTTTACCCTGTGCCAGGTGCTGGGCTACAAGTTCAACAGGTATTATCTTGTGTAATCTTAATAGCCACCCTATAAAGTAGGAACTCTTTATATCCCTACTTTTATAGTGAGGAAACTGAATGGATACGGGGTGTGGAGGTATCTTAAGTGACGTGTTCAAGGGTCACCCAATAAAGAGCTGCAGGGCTAGAATTCGGACTCAAGCCCTCTGATTCTTAGGCACTGTACTCAAGAAGCAGAGGCAGAGCAAACAGACACTGGGCCAGGGGGTCTGCTTTTTACCTAGTAAAGAAAGGAAAGTACAGAGTGAGGAGAAAGTAGTACTTAAAAGCACTTCTAGAGTCTAGGAGGGGCCTAGCAGGAGGATTTTAGGTTAAGCAGGAGATCTAAGGAGCATTAATTATCATATAAGATGTTCAGTGTGCTGTTCAACTATATGTACACAGAGAGGACTAAAGCATAAAGGGAAGGAAAGAGCTGCACAAGGTCAGGCAATGAATTAGATGTCAGATAGGAGCTACAAGCCCGGAACTACAATCAAACATTCTCTCCATAGACCTGAATGAAGCTGGGGGATCTCTGTTACTGTACTTTCATGGTTTGGTATTTATTCACTGATTCAGCTGATACTTAAGGAAAGCTTAACTATAAAATTTTGCTAGGTGCTGAGAATGCTGGAAGGAAATTTCAAGAAGTGGTCCCTGACTTCTATAACCTTACAAACTAGTTGGCTTATTGTTTGGAGTCTGGTGGCAAAGGAGCAGACACAGTTAAACATCCCCAACAATCACATTTTCTTCTAAAGGATGCTGGGAAAACAGAAAAAAACAGATCTGAAGGGAAGCTCTTGTCTACTGATCAGGCTCTTTCCCAAAGTCTGCTATCTAACCTGCAAAGAAAACCTCAAGCAGGGGTTCTTAACTTTTTTTTTTAATAGAGGTACTGGGAATTGAACCCAAGACCTCATGTGTGCCAAACACGTACTCTACCGCTGAGCTGTACCCTCTTTCCCCTTAATCTAGTTCCTGTAGGTCAATGGATGTACTTCAACTGGTCTATGAACCATCCCCCTGGAACTATATGCAAAACAATAAATGCAAATATGTGTATTTTTTGTGGGAACAAGATTCACAGCTTTCATCAGATTCTCAAAGAGGATTAAGACTCAGATACAAAGATGCCCCTGCAGCTTTAGGGCATCCGATCAGAGTTCCACGTTAAGTTGTTACCAAATCTCAGGGAGACACATATTAAATGGGTGGTGATATCCTTAAATTAATGTTAAAGAAATCTGACCAGCAGATTTCTTTCCCTCAGAACCCTTGGAAAATTTCATGGAACACCCTGTAATACAAGGGTTCTTAATCTGGTGTCAGTAAACTTTCTGAAATTGTATGCAGTCAATTCTGTGTTTAAGCATATTTTTGCAAGGGGCGGGCAGGGGTGGGATGGGGTATGGTTCAGAACCTTCATTAGAACCTCAGTTAAGTCCAAATACGTACAAATCCATTCTAAGTGTGGATTTGCTTGGATCCAGGAACCCGATTTTGTTATATCCAGACAAGTACCAGAATTCCATAGCATAAAGATGGGTGAGGAGAATTCCATGTCAGTTCTCTATAGGGGTTCAGGCCAGACCTTTACTCTAACGCTCAGCCCACTCCAGAGTCCTCCTTGCCAGACCTTGCATAAGTATTTGGCTAACATCGCCTAGTCCATTCTAGACTGTATCTAAACCCTGGAATAGCTCAGCAATCTAAGAGAGTGAGCTACAAAAGTAACTAGGTTTCTAACTAGCTTGGGATTACCTTGGATCCAAAGAGCCAGGGAGCCCATACATGTGCACCAGAAGGTCAGTGAACGTCCTGAAATTGTATGCAAAAATTTTATGTGTATCCTTCTCAGGATCAAAGCATGAACGTAAATCTACAACCCGCACACCAAAAAATAAAAAGGCTGAGAACCGCAGACTCAGGACACAAATAGCCCTCACTGGACCTAACAGTCCCAATAATGTGAAGCAGGGCTTTAGGCCCAGGAAAACTCTGGCCAGGCAGTAAGGTTCCTGGAGATAGGTCACTGACCTTTGTACGGGGTACAATGTTGAGTTCCAGTTTTTGGTCCACCAGGCTGGCCCCTGCCTCTGAGAGATAGCCTTGGTTGAGGACAAGACAGTCACGGCCAAAGCAGCAGGGACAGCACAGCTTCTGTAGCCACTTGGTCCACTTAGGATTAAGGTGCCCATATGGCTCTTCATTCTTGGGTTTGAAAACAGCAATGATCTTCTACAGAGACAAAAGAAAAAGAGGATATTAAAGGCAAGTTGATTAAAGTAGCCCACAGACCAGGTCAGCTAGGAATCTAGAAAGAAGTAAGAGGGCATAGGCAAACAGTCTACATACAGTTAGACACTGGCTTCTCTCCAGCTTGTAAGGGGAAGACACAGCTTGTGTGTGCAGCTGAGAGACCCACTCCCAGAAGGGCTGTGGCCAAAGAAGGTGCCAAGTCTGGTATATATGGTACAACAGATTTTAACACCACCAAACCCCAACTTCCAAGGTACACGCATACACACTGTTGCTCTGCATCAATTAAGTAAAGACTCAACTGAAAGGAAATCAGTAAGGTATTATGGAATGAGGTTAAGAAAATTCTTTCATCAATGGTTGATTTTATCTATCAGCCTAACTATCTCAACCCCTGGGTGTTAACAAAACTTTAAAATAAAAACTTTAGGAATGACCAACTATAAAAGCAACAGAAGAGAAAAATCACAGGAGGAAAAAGGATCTGCTACCTGGTTAGAAACAGGTTCTTTTAAATAATTCTGATAGGCAAGAAATCAGGACAAGAGAGGCCACAAAGATTAAGATCCATCTTCTCTAGCAGACAGGAACTTAATCCTCAAAAGTCCATGGACATATGGGATGCTGCTGCAACCTAGAAACTATGGCTTTCCCTCCCGAAGTTTTCTTCCCCAGGCCAGTCAGCCCTCTGAGGTTGTTTTACATTTATCTCATTCCCTCCAGCCCCCAAACGGGTGCTTTCAAAGGAAGAAAAGTAGATATGCTATCCAAGTGATTCATCTTTCTATCATATGACTCTCCCTCCCCTCACCCCACAGCCAACTCAAGCTAGTCTGGGTCATAAGACACTTTCCTGTGAGTGCCACTTCCTGAATGGCTGGTCACAGCAGAAAACATACATCCATCTGTCTGCATTAAGTAAATACTCATATTAGGAATTGGCTAGGCACATATCTCCAACAAACACTGGTTAACCTTGAAGCCAGTTCCTTCAAGAAGTCTTGCAAGGATTTGAGAGGGCAAGAGAAATACAGAACTCTCCTCCTCCAAAATTATCAATTTATTCTTAAAGACAAACTTACTTATTCACCAGAAAAAGTCAAATGCATATATTCATATTATAAGTGTTCATAACTACATTTTTATCCAAAGTGGCCAGCCACAGGCCTATTTTAGCCACCTTCCTCTCTGTCTCTGTACCCCTGGAACCCTGCTCTCAGTCACACAGCAGCATAGCAAGTGGCTTACCACACAGAGAATGACTGATGACTACTCTCTGGAACCTGGGCAGTGAAACCACAGGACAACTTGAAGCCTGTCCCAAAACCCACCAGTCAGTTCAACTGAGGCATAATGTGGAGTTCAGCAAGCTGGTCCCCAGTGAAAGGGAAACCAAGACATTGCTACTATTAGCAGGGCTGAAAAATACCAGGGCTGAAGCTTAAATACTTCTGCTTAAAGAAAGCAGAACTTACAGGCCAAAGATTGCAGGTAAGCAATCATTTACAGACTGACTGACCTCTCCAACTTCTCAATTTCCTTCCATCATAAGGAGAATTAGAAAGCATTTCATCAACTCCAAAAGCATACATGGTTCTCTCAGTATTACAAGGGTTTAATGAAATAATAACACCTGGAATGGACAAATGGGGGAATGGTAGAGTGGGAAGGATGGAGGAACAGAAGGACACTCAGACAGAGGTGGGGAGACAAGTGACTTTCAGGACTAAGTGTCACCTCAGCTCAATTCAATTCTGCTAACATTTGCTCCGTACCTAGTTTGTGCAAGACAGTGCGTCAGCACTCTGTGGGTTTCCTAGATAGACACATAAAACAGACTCTGGCCTAATTTCCAAAGCTAATGTTAACTTCATATACTGAATACTCAGGAATACTGTCCTAATTCATAGAAAACAAACTCTAAAACCACTCAAATTAGAAAGACACCTACCATTATTTGGTTGAGAAAGAAAATGGCTACTGTCAATTTTTCTCACCATCCTCTCTCTTCTTAAATTTACTTTTCAATCTCTTTATTACATTTAGGAGAAAGCTTCAGTTTGATATCAATATTTTAAAAACACCTTCCCTGAACACTCACTTACTAAATCCAAAGGGGTTGAGGTGAGTAGCAGCAATCCATGAAGGCAGGGATAAAAACAGCTCTGCACAAGGAAGTAAGAGGCCACTCACTGGCTGGTGCCAGACCCACAACCAATTACTGGAACCCAAAGGGTTTCCTATACCCACTCAGCAGCCTCAAGTAGGAGGGTACTATGTTATATTAAAAATTAAGACAGTTCAAGCACATCACTGTGAAATATCCAAAAACAATGCTTCATAAAACATTTCTCTGAAAGTTTGGTAAACACGAAGTGTATGGGTCTCAAACTTTTTGGTTTCAGGATCCCTTTAAACTCTTAAAAATCATTAAAGATCCTAAAACATTTGTTTACGTGGGTAAAATCTATGTTTGCTGTATTAGAAATTAAAGCTAAGATGTTAAAACTATTTATTAACTCACCTAATAATAAAAATAAACCTATTACATGTTAACATAAGTGACATGCTTTTTATAAAAAATAACTATATTTTCAAAAACAACATTTAGTGGGAAGACTGGCATTGTTTTACATTTTTACAAATCTCTAATGTCTGTCAATAAAAAACAACTATATTCTCACATCTTCTTAATATCCAATCTGTTTCGATATCACACATTATGCACCCTCTGGAAATCTCCACTGTACACTCATAAGGAAATGAGAGTGAAAAAGGCAAGTCTGTATTCCGTATTAGAATTTGGATAGCATTCTTTGACTTAGCTATTTAGGTAAAAGTCCTTGTTTACAAAAGGGAAGGATGGACTATTCCAAATATATGAGACTCTGAAAGATGATGGGATCCAAATAGAATGTAGTAGAAAATATTTAGATTGTATTTATTTTCCTGTCCACTGCCATCAACCCAATCTGCCTCATCCATCACAACTTGTGGCCTGGGACAGCTCCCTATACCAGATGGTAGACGATGCTGAAAAATCTCAAGAACTACATCTATGTATGGTATACAAACTTGACTGTCTCTTAATACTCTAGTAAAAACAAGAATTCTGTTTGAGATCTTTATTCTTTATTTGGCTATCAGTGTGTTTCTCAACCAAGGATAAGGATACCAAAATTTCTTGGAGGGCACAGGTAGTTGGAAGAAGCACAACCAATATTATAACATAATTTTATATTTGAAAAATGGAAAATAATACTCTGCCGTTTTCATGACACACTCTTTGTGAATAAAGTATTTTTTTTAAAGCCTGAAAATTACTGATGCAAGGCAAGTTCCTAGAACACGTGAGCAGTATCTGTAGAATTATGAAGCAAATACCAACTGGCATTATCTAATGAATTACTATTCTCAGTATGAAAGCATCTTCTCAAAATCATACCTTTGCCTTATTCAATACCATGTATCCAAGAAAGCCTAACTAGAGGTCAGTGGGCATGTAACTTAAAAAAGAAACAAACTAAGCACTCTGAACTCCCACTAAGCACCAGAAACTATGCCAGGGGCTTTCAAGTGTGATGTCTCATTTAATGCTCGTAATAAATTAGCAAATCACGTGCTGTTCTATGATTTGGCAATGTAAACATCCAGTATTACTGGCCTCACCAAACAGAAAATGCTCAAAAAATATGTTAGTAGGTAATTGGGCATAAGACCTGAAGGACAAGGGTATAGGTGAGGAGGGTAATATGAACACTCTCTACCAAGACTCCTGATCTAGCATTTTCCATCCTACTGTTCCAGGTCCCAACTTGTTTGTCCTGAGGAAGAAACCATCCTAAATTGAGAAATGGAATCAGGGCTGTTACCTTCAAGAACCTTTCAGACCGTCCAGCTCCAAAAGTAGCTGTGACAGAAAGTGCTGGTCCCCCCAATTCCTGTTCCATCTTCCTGCCTGGACACAGGTCTCTGATTTTTAGCCAGGCAAAGTGAAGACTATAGTTCACAGCCTCTACTGTAGCTAAGTAATGGACAGTAGGATGTAAGGAGAAGAGTCTGGTGCAACTTCTAGGAAATGTCTTACAGGACGAGGGCATCCTCTCCCTCTCCTTCTTCCAGCTGGCTGAAAGGCAGATAAGGTGTCTGCAATTGGAGTAGCCATCTTGGATCATGAAGTGGAAGTCACAGGTTAGGGATGGCAGACCAGCTGGATGGAAGGATGCATATTGTGCATAATGCAAGCCTGATAAGGTTAAATGGCATGCCAGATCTGAGTAGCCTGCGGACTTCTTTTATGAGAGTTAAATGTACTTTTATTCAAGTCATTATTATTTTAAATTTTTTGTCACACATAGCCAAATTTAGTCCTAACCAATATGGTAGGTGAAAAGAAAAACAAGAGATGCAGATGACTAAGTCTGAGGCAGCAGTACATAATGGTTAGGAGCATGAACTCTGGATCCAGTCTGCTTGGCTCTGAATCCTGCCTCCCACTTACTAGCTGTGAGATCCTGGGCAAATTAGTTATACTGTGTGTCTGAGTGTCATCATCTGTGGGGATACTAATAATAGGACCTACCTCCAAAGGTGTTATGAGGATTGAGTGAATTATTTTTTGTAAAGCACTTTAAATAGTACCTGGCATACAATAAATGCTATCTAAGTATTTATTAAATAAAATAAATAAACATATTTGGAGCAGGGCTAAAGATGACAAAACCAACCACAGTGAGTCTGTGGTCCAGTATAACCCACCACGGCATTTAGGAAGTGATCCTCTGCTCTGAATCATATTTTCCTCAGTGGGAACAGGATGGTTACATTAATAAGTTTTGTCAGGTCATATGTGTTTTGATTTCCCCTCTAAGAAAGAATAGTGGCCAGAAAATTTAAGAGACTGAGATCCTGGAAACCACCAAGAAGCATATCCATAGCCTGTCATTCCCTGTGGCCTATGTACTAGATGGTAGTACTTTACCTGCCAGGTAGAACTGAGAGATCATATTACTCCCACCTGTGAGAGCATCAGATCACTTCTCAGCTGACCTGACACACTTTCAATGCAGCTGCAACAGTGTCATGAAAGAAAAATATAAACCTTCCTTCTGCTTCTATCAAAGATAATCTTAGCCCCTTCTTACATCAGCCAACAAGCTAAAAAAAAAAAGGAAAAAACAACACTCGTATCTTAGATGTCATTCCAGTTCCCAAATTAAAAAGATGAAAACATCTCAGTAACATTTAAATTTCACCCCCTCCCCATTTTCTTTTCTTCTAGAAGTGATGGTTCCCCTTTGAGCTTTCAATTTAACTCACCGCTCCCTTATTTGACAGACTTGGAAAGACTTACTATCCGCAAAGTTTTTCCCCATCTCAGTTTATGTTAACTGAGCTAATGGCAGAATTGACCTCTGGCTCTTGATGATAATTCAGGGACAACATCTGATAAAATAACTGAATCCTTCAATGAATCTAACCAAAAGCTACAAGTCACAGTTCATCCTAGCCACTCAGCACGCACACCTATCAAAAGAGCACACCACCCATCTGAAGAGTACACACAGGAGAGATGTAGGGAAAATCTGAGGGACCTTTGACATCTATCATTTTAGTAAGTACAGCAGTAATACATTTTCCCAATAAACCATTGTGGTCCATCTGAGAACTTTAACGAAATTTTCCACTCATTTATAGTCCAAAGATTAGTATCCAAATTTCTTAAATTCTTCTGTGATTATCGAAAGAATAAAGGTCAGTTTTCAGCTGCCCCGGTCACTCCAAGCCCCATCCCATCCCATCCCCATCCCTCCTTATACACATGCAGGAGACAAAATAAAGGTTAGCCAAACACTCTGCCTTAGCTAAAAAAACAAACTGCTGATAGTCCTGGGTGAGAAACGAAAGTAAAAAGTAGCTGACAGTCCTATGTTTCTCAGGCTCTACATTCTAAACTGAGGAACCATTTTTAAAAAACTGAACGATTTCCCAGAAGTGAGCAATAACCAGGACAGGTGAAACTGTTGAGTCCACCCACTCTATCACCAACATCTGCCAATAAGAGGTCTGGGACGGTGGCAAGAAACATCCCACAACACAGAAGGCTGGAAATGAACTCTCAGAGACCCTGATGGGTCACTCGTCCTTCTCAATGAACAATGACAACACTGGTTCGGTCCAAAAAGAGAGAACAGGCTCAAAGATGTAAGTCAGTGGCGTAATAGCAGTCTCTGTAGTTTAAAGCTAAGGAACCGACTAGAAAGCAGCATCTCCCCGTGCATCTCTGTCCAGGGGCCGATTGCCCCATCGCACCGCTGGGCCCCTCGCCTGTATCTGGTCAATTTCCTCTTTTCATTTTCCGCTCACTTCTCCCCTACCAAATAAGTTCTGATTTATTTCTTCAATCCGCAGAGCTTCTCCATCTCCAGTCCTCAGAGGCATTCCAAAATCCTGCCGGGGGGGCCGCACTGTGAAGTTTCTCCCTTTTGCAGCCTTTCAACCCCCCTCTTCCCCCTACAGCCTTCTCCCTCTGGCAGTGCGAAGCCTTAAACTCCCTGGGACAAGCCCACCCTCCCTGAAGCCGGCGGCCGCAGTCCCCACCCCGCTCTCACCCCCTGAGGGTCCTTGACGAAGTAGCTTCCGCTGGAGCCCTGATAGATGCGCTCGGGGAAGATGCAGCGCTCGATGGCCAGCTCGGCCTGCCG